TTGTTTAACAACAGGGATAACACGACATAAGTGAAACAGTAAATGCAAGTCAATTCAGTCTCTCAGTGACATCATCATTGTGATATAAGACATGCATGTTTTAAAGGCCTGAAAATAATATTCATAAATAATTATAAATATTACATAATATAGTAACAAAAGCTTTTTGTTTTATATTTCAAAAGCATTATGTAAAAGAATTTTTGTTTTAATTTAATAAAATGTGAAAGGAGACAAAAATTCTTTAACATGTTGCTTATAATATAAAATGAAAAGATTTATTTGGATCTTTCCTGTACCAGTTTGAATAATAATGCTGAATAATAGACTGTCACTTACTATTCCGAAATTTTCTATATTCATGTCGTACAATCCACCCGCAGTCAACGAACAGAGTTTCTTGCACCTTATTTGCATTACGTACAGTAATTTTTGAATTTTCACCGGTGTGGCGTACCATGCAGAGTTGTATCTGTCTTGATATGTGTAATGAACTTTATTTGAGTCTTTAATTGGTATCTCTGTTTTAAATGAATGAAGTAATTACATACGTACATATTGTCGGCTAAAGTAGAGCAACTATCCAGTAGCACCTGGCCAGGTAGGCTGAGTAGTAACAAATGAAACTGACTTGCACCACAGAATACAGCATTTCGCATTGCGATTTCCGGTCTATGTATATTTACGACTGTCTGGAAAAAATAAAATAAAAATTGAATGACTTGTAATTATTTTTAATTTTTATCTATCATCATTTAAAAAGTTGTTTTTACTTGTACAGCTGTGGCGCTCATGCCCAACATGTTCAATCCAACTTGAATTAAATAACTAATTTGACTGGATTTATCTAGTAGCATGAAAAATCTTTAAAAATGGGACGGTGAAATTAGTCAAATTCTATAATTATTTTTTTTTTTTAAGTGAATTCCACCATTAATTAGTAAATACGTACCCTATAGCTTCTTTATGCATCAGCACGCTGTTTCGGGATTTTTCATATATGTAATTCTGCGAAATAACTTCATCATTGTAATTTTGAATCGATACCACTTTCTGTATCTGATATCTATGTTTAGAATTAATGACAATGTATACACAAAGATAATTGTCATAATATTTAGTAATGCTTGTTGAAATGACGAATTAATAATAATCTGTGTTTTGCAGAACACTATGATATTTACCCACAAACTGTAAATAATCCGCTATTGTGGTGAATTATTAACATGTATAACCAGTCTGCTCCAATTATTGTGAATACAGTAACTGATACCGCCCAAAGTAATTGCAAATATGAATAGAAGAAATAATCATAACCGTCAAAAAATAGATAATTAACTCTAAGTATTTGCTGTCGTGTGCGAGTTTCATTTAATGGATGGATGATGTCTAGGATGGGAGAAATTAACGGAATCAGCAAGTAGAGTATCAAAAAAGATACTAAAGTATCTGTAGAGAATACAATTGGTTATTTATATAGGAATAATTCTATATAACAGAAAAAAATGATCTATTATTATGAATATCAAAAATATTAGTAATAAGATTCTTGCTTTTACTTACTGTGATAAAATTGTGCCATTTTGTTGCCTTGTATAACTATTTTTTCCAGAACATGTAATTGACCGCTTAATTTCAATTGATCCCATTGTGTCCCCACCAGATGGAATAATTTGCTAAACTACATCATAATAAATTTTTATGTTCCTCGTATATTTAAGAATTTTTTGGTATAAAAGAAATTTTACTTACATTTTGCCTATTGAAATGCATATTTAATATCTTAATAAGACCGATCGAAGATGCGATAAAATGTGGCAAACACTCGATAACGCCATCCGCGTCTTTCTTACGTAGTGATACGTATAATTCAATTATCTAATGATCGATAATTGTTTAACAGTTCATTACTTGATTATTGGCTTATCACGTAATATTCATTTAATCGAGTTATTTAATAATAATATATTTCCTAAAAGTGACTGATATATTTCCCTTACCGTTGGAAGAATGATGCTTACAATACTGGTTGTCACTATAATTACAATCATACTTTTAGTGCTACTTTTGTCACGTGGATCTTGTCCCAAAAGTTTCATAAATTTGGTAATATTTTTGTAATAAGGAACATGAAATATTTCATTATAATCGGTTTTCTGAAATACTAGTTCAAGCTTAGATTGATTTCTCGATTCAAATACGTTAAACTTAAACTATAAAATAACATAATATTATCTCGGTATGTATATATATGTACACAGATATCTGTAGGAAATTTTTACATTGAAAAGTGTGTTGATATTATATGCAAAAATATGTGCAAAGAACATTCGTAGTTTATTTTATAATGCACATAATATATCGTATAATATGTAATGGTAAAAATATTTTCTATCTAGGATTCATCTTTCGAATTATTCTGAGAAAAATGAAAATTTGTATTGCAATTTGCATGCAACATTCGCTGTGAAATTATTGGTGTACTAAATTATAGAAAATAATTATAATATAACTATAATTTAATATAAACTTTTTCTCTTACTAGTCATAGCTCGAAGTTTACAGTTCGTAAAATATTTTTAACCAGCGCAACAGTTTTGAAGAAGAGTTGTATATCTTACAGTTGCCGCATTGAAAATGTAAAGAACTGTTTCTTTAGGGATGCAGAAACTATACGGTGGTATATACTTATAATTGATATCAGTTATTGCACGATTATTACTGTCAATTTATGTTTTGGCAGTTGAATACCACGGAATAAATACATGATGCCATTGTTCATAAGATAATGATTTTGCGAAATTGTAAGTTGTGCTTCTTACAGTGGTTTATTGAACAGTTATGTATCTAATATTGATTAATTTTCATTCCAGTAGTAATTTCTAAATTTTCCACTAAGGAAGGTTTCGTTATTGTCATTTGTTGCTTGCAAGAGTGAGACGTTGTTATCTTTGACTTGATTAGT